CGTATGTTTGTTGGAGTTTTTTTTAAAGCGGTCCCTTATAGGGAGTCAACTGCCCATGTTGCAGTGTGTTTCTGCTGCCTCTCATCCTATTGTCATGCACCTCCAAGGTCTCAGAAAAAAGCCCAATAAATAAAATTGGACCTAGGTAGGAACAACTGGAGCTGCATTCTTCACTGCCTAAGCAGGACAAACAAAACAGTTTCAGCAATTTGCTTTTTTTTAAAAAAAATCACTAATAAATAGAGATTTGGCAGCTCCTTTAGAATTAAGCTACCATAGAATTTCTATCTTTGAGAGTTGTTGGATTTCATAAAGTTCTTGTTGGTTCATTCCCCCAGCTGGTCCACAAACATATTGACCGGTTTCCCCACCCAGTGATTTGGTGTCATCCGCAGATTTTATAAGCAAGCACTGCACTGCCTCCTCCAGTGACAAAGATGCTGGACTGACCAGCTCACAGGACAGATCCCTGCAGTACTCTGATGTCACTGTATTCCTGGGCGAGTGCAACCATTAGCCACTACGCTCTAAGCCCCATCACCAAACCAGATGGTTGTCAGACCATCTAGACCAAAATGTCCCAGCCTGGATAGAAGACTATTATATGTGAGAGAGTGGCCTTGCAAGGACATGGGCCAGTTCCCTCAGCTCCCTCAGTTGCAGCCTGCTGGGTACCATGGAGTTGTACAAATCAGGTTTTCTCAAGAAATACGTGGCTCAAACCCTGTCCACTGTCAGCTGCTCCTCTTGGACGTGTTCACTGATCACAAGGTATGGGAGACATCGTTAGTGCAGACTGAGACAAAGAAGGTTTTGAGTGCTTCAGACTTACTGTCTCTGTTGTCACTGTGTCACCCAGCCCACTCAGCATGGGCACACATTCTCCTTGGTTAGCCTTTATTACTAACATAATAGTAGAAGCTTTTCTTGTCCTTGATGTCCTTGAAGATCTCAACTACAGCTGAGCTTTGACTTTGCCAGTACCATTCCCTATATATCCACGCAACATTTCTAAACTCCTCCTTTGTAGCTTGTCCTGCTTCCACCTCGTACGCTACCTTTTGATGTTGGGACCACCACTGTGAGTTCCCTGTGCTGGGATCCTCATAAATCTGCTCATTTTCCTGCATTTCAACACAGGCTGCTCTTAAACATCCTTAAAGACCTGCCAGCTGCCCTGGGCCACTTTGCCCTTCCAAGCTGCTTCCCAAGGCATGACACCTACTTATTCAATTCCCTGAATAAGCCAAACTCTGCTTGTCTGAAGTCCAGGGTCTGTACTTGGCTATTCTCCTTCCTCATTCCCTGCAAGATCTTGATCTTCATTATTTCACAGTTGCTACATCCAAGGCTACCACTGATTATCACATTCCCAACCATTTCTTTCTTATGAGTGAATGGTAGATCCAGGTGTTCTTCACCTCTGGTTGGCTCAGACGGAGAAAGAGGTGCACAGCAGCCATGCAGTGACCAAACCAGAACAGGACAGCTATTATGGCATGGGATCTGTGCAGAGAATCCCACATGGTGGTCAGCGAACAGCAGCAGCAGAAGTTGACTAAATATTTGTGTAAAGGAAAATGAAGTAGAGAGGATGAAAGGGGAGGACAGCTGTACAAAAACCTGTCAGCACAACTAGAGTAAAAGTCCTCACAGGAATCTGGGCCCCAGTGAGAAGAACAGCGGCCAATACTGAGAGATGCCATGCCACCGAAGGAGGAGCAGTTTGTTGTTTCAAAGTTGCACTCCACTCAGCAAGTTAAACAGGAAAAGCAGAGACATGCAGCTCTAGAGCCAGAATGGTTCTCAGCTTAGATTCTTGCATTAGAAAGGGTAGGCAAGGAAGCTGAAGAAACAGAACAGTGAATCACAGTCACAGTTCCTGGGAAAAAATGTAATGATTCCGAATGAAGAGAAAATAAGACTGACCAGAAGTAATGAGAAGGCAAGGCCTGGAGAAAGAAGAGGAGCAATCTGAGGTGCAGTCATGTTTCCCTACAGACAGTCTGTGGCCTGAGGTCAAAACTGAGGCTCAGCTGCTAGACTTGGGTCACAAAGGCCCCATCGGCTCCACGGATTTAGGTCCCCAGCTATGAATGAAGACGCCTGTGAACTGCTCAAAAACTGAATGAGGGTTTCAGTGACATGAGAACACGGGAAGGATCCAGAGGTGAGGAAAATGGGGTGGGAAACAGCCTGCTGCGCAGAACCGGAGTTAATGTTGAATACACTATAAAAAATACTAGGCCTTGTTTCCATACAGTACGTCAGCCTGGGCTTAACCAAGTCTTTGTGGTCACTAAAACTGCATTTTAGACAAAAGAGACGCAGTTGATACAACTGACCTGCATTTAAGTAAAGCATTTGACATACAGTCATAAAGGGACCCACTGCTTAAGACTGAAAAATGGGGATTACAACAAGAACTGTATATGGTAAAGAACTGGGATAGGAGAAAAGTATTAAGCAGGAAGTACCTCATGGACCACTTCTGAAACTGATTTTATTTAAATGCATTCATTAATAGTTCCTGTACCAAAAGGAGAAATATGCTAACAAAACTTAATAATGACAAATTTGGGTGGCACTGCCATCACAAGGCAGGGGATAGTACAGAGAAGGTAAGGAAGCTCAGAACTCTATAATGGAAATGGGATGAAATATAGCATTACAAAGCACAGGATCATGTTCCTCAGAGTCTAATTCCTGCTCTAATATGGGAATTCATCAGTTGCAAATAATAGAAAGCAGAAATACTTTTGAGTCAATCACAGAACGACCACTGGTAATACTAGTAATCTGTAATACTATGTATAGTTCTGGGTTAAATTTTTCACACCATTAGATTCCTGCAAAATTAAATCCTTCTCAGATAGCTGACCTGTAGCAGTTGAGTGACCCTACTGACCAGTGATATGCTCCAGCACTACGGCACAGGTTTGACCAGAGAGCTTGGAAATCCAGCTGTGGGTTATCTGTGCCAACTGCCTGAGTCACTACCACAAGCGAGGAACACTGAGAACCCATCTCCTTTTCCACTACTACATAAAGATGGTTTTAAAGAGTAAAGTGTATTTAATATCTTCCTCTCTCCCCTGTGCAGATCCCAGAAAACATAAGCAAGAGTCTGTAAAAAGTCTGTGGGTAACAGACGCTGACTGGCTGGAAAACACTGCAGAAGTAGTTCCAGAAAGTTGGAAGTTTTACCCTATGTTTCACATGCATTCCACAGCAACCAGTGCAAATCCTCCACTTGACAGGACAGGATTTCCCCATCCCACAGATGGTGAGAGTAAGGGGTTTCTGACACACTGACTAGCAGTCTAACAGAGAACCTTAACCCAGACAGAGCATCACATCATTGACACCAGCACTGCAGCTGCACTGATAAAAACCCCACTGTAGACAGACCTCTAGCAATCTGTGTTGCCTTATCACTCCATCAGTTAAAACTATTGGCTGACACCAACAAAGGTACTGAGAGGCAAGAAGACTTGGTGACAGCATGGTTCTGAAAGCACCTGTAGAGATTTCTGACATACCAAAATAAGGCTCTACCTATGAAAGAATTATTATGGACTTGACAAATACAGGCACTGGTCTTCTGTTGCCAAAAAAGTTTGTTTACCTCTGTTATGAGACCATCTTATGAAGGCGCCAGACAAAAACCCAACCAAACAAAATAAAACACCTCCACAACCAGCCAACCAAAAAATTCAAAACAATAAAATAAAAAGTGCCTTGAAATGGATATATATTTCCAGGGACAGCCTCACCATCCAGCATGTATCATTGTCTGCGAAAACAGTTTGTGTGGGACAGACAAAACCGACAGTACAAGACACTTAGCTTTCATTATAAGAAAGTACAGACCCCCAGCAGAGCAGAAATGAGGCTTCAACATCAAATACCAGGGAGGCTGCAAGCAGTTCAAAGGTCTGGGTTTAATGGTAGCTTCGTCCTTTCAAGCCTGCAGTATGAGAGATCTCATGGCTGATCTATGAGAGGCTTTGCTTTCAGATGATGGCAGGAATGACAAGAGAAGAAGTAATAACATGACACCAATAGTACCAAAGTGGGCTCACCTCCTCTGGTGGCTGGTAGAAGGCACCTGTGAAACAGTAACACAAGAGACTCTGGAGCCTGTCAGTAAGTTTGGGCTCACATGAGCAGTGAAGAGGTAAGCTTGAAAAAGATGTGGAGTAAAAGGGCACACCTGTCCAAGGGATTCTGAGCCCAGAAACAGCACCAGCAGCCAAAGAAACTGGGACTAGGATGTGACAAGGGTGTGTGTTTTGAAGCCTAAGGAAGCTCGCCTTTTGGGACCAAGCAGGTTCTAGGGGAACCGTACTGAAGAGGGTAAAGGAAAGGAAAAGTCTGGGAATAATGAAAGAGAAGGGGAGCAGAGAGAAATCTCAGTGTTTAGAAAGGAATTAGAAGATTTAAGCATTGAGGATCAAGCATAGGCAGACACCAAAAGCTAGACATATCCCCAGAGATAAGAGAATTAGTAACTCTCCAGACAATACAGACCCCTGAACTTTGTTGTTTGCACGGGTGCGCTTCAGTCCTACTGGGACACAACCACAAAAATCACAACCTGGCAGCTCTACTGGGCCAGAGATCTGAGGCCGAGCCTGTCCCCTCGGGCACAGCTGTGCTCTGGACCATGTTTTGGGCAGCCCCAAAAATGGATCAAAAGCATGGTGGAGACCTGAGGGCCCCGGCGCAGGCATTGCCTGGTGGCCCAGCGCCGCAGTCCCTCCAGCAAGCGGCAGTGCTGGCTCGGCCAACCCAGGCGCGAGGCCGTGCAGGCCAGGCTGCTCCACGCTCCCAGCCCCCAGCCCAGCCCCAGCCTGGCTCTCCAGACTTTCACCCACTGCCTACTTACTTTTTAATTAGATTTTTAAACAAAAAGTGAAAGAATTTTCTAAAATCCCTCTAATTACACTAAGATGCTGAACTGATTGTGAAGGGAATAGGAAATGAAAGCGACTCACCCTCTGAGGGAGAATTTTGTCAGCCATCTTCCTCCTCTTGGCACTGTACATTTTTTAAAGAAAAAAACACGTTACCATGGTGACAGATCTAGGAGTAACGAGGCCACCTGCTAAATTATCCTGACATCTCCACATGCTGGTGCACAGCTGTGCATGCATCAGCAAAAGGGCCTCACCCATGCCCAGGACCTCAGACCCCTTCTCTCAGCAGCCTGGGGAGGCAGTTAGCTAAGAACAAATCAGGGCTGTCTGTTATGCATCCTGGAAAGAAGTCTGCAAGTTCTTTGATCACAGCACCTTCTGTGGTGCAGGGTGGCAACGTATGCAAGTGCATGTGCACACGCTGCCTCTGGGTACAGATGAGTGTGCAGGACAGTCTCGTGTGGTGTGCACAGACACCCCTGTGCGTGTGCACATCTGGCTGAGTGCCTGCAAACAGCACATGAACTTGTTCAAACAGACCACACACATTTGTTCAAGCATGCCCAAAATCGAGTGCTGAGGCAAACACACATATATGTGTGCATTTCATATGATGTATGAAAACACACACATGCACACACTTCCCTATGTACTTACACCTGTTTGACTGTAACGATCTGCACGAGTGACGTGCAAAGGTAAGAGGCCTGATGTTTCCATATTTGTTCATCTTTATGAACGCACATGAGGGAAGATGTATGTGTGCCTGCAGTGTATATACACACTGTTTCCATACCCATACATAGGCACATTTCCATATCTATGCTTTGAAAAATACACTTGTGCTCCTGTACATACACACAAATGTGTATGTGCCTGAGAAATGATACTGTAGCGAAGATTGTCAAATACACTGTCTTTTGAATTCTTCAGATTCTAAGACCCATTTGTGGCCACCAAACCTGTCACCCAGCTTTCTCTAACAGGGCCAAGAGGGAATTCAGGCCTTATTCTTCACCTCTGTAATTTGTGAAGCCTTTATCTTAAGCAGGAGATGAATCACTCCATCTATGATAGACAAGTGAGAGAAAGCAAAGCACCTGCTGTCTTCATACAGGAAGCCAGTCATCAGCCATGTCCACATAAAAGCTCTTTCCACGCACTGGTGTGACATACTCTCTTCCTATGTTTGTTAATAATAAGCCTGGCCTGAAATACCAGATTCTTAGAGTCTTCCCCATCCCCATATAAGCCAAGGCTGAGGAACTCTTTGTGCCTGGAGGTTCAAACTATATCCTTCCTTGGGGGCAGAAAATTCATCTATACAGTTACATCCAACTTAATAGGTGAACAATGTCCCTTTTTAAAAGTGTAGGAATAATGGGACTGGAACGTTACTCGGTGTGAACCTCCAACACCTTCCACAGCCCACAAAATCAAATCTGCACTGAAACACTTCACAGAATCTGGAAGTAAAGGCTGAGCAAGTCCCAGCCTCCCAAAGGGAGCGGGACATGCAACAACCTGCAAAACCCCACAGGCTTGCAGTTAAAAAGCAAGTAACAAACCAACATCCCCAAACAACTTGGGGCTCAACCATTTCTTCAAGAGTCTGTTACAGAAATGAGATTTTTGCCTCCATCAAACCTGCCAAGAAAGGACAAGTACAACCTTCTTGGCCCATTCGTGCTAGAAGACATAGAACTCAATTACTCCCAGAATTGGACCCAAGGTGCCAGAAAAGTGTGCCTGAAAAAAACAGAATGAGAAATGACAGGGAGGTGGAAGCAAACAAAGGGAAAACATTCAACACGTTATCTGGAGGGAAGGCATGGCAGAAGGAACAATGCTCCTGAGTACCCAGGGAGCATTGGTGTGAGCTGAGCTCAAGGCAGTAGAGATCACTGCTGGGTCCTAAATCAGAAGCACTGCAGTTAAGAACTGGGGAGGGGAACTGCTTTCTTCTGTGAGTTAGGCCATTAACTTTTAGAAAATACTGTCCTTCAATGCTCCCTGGAAACTAATTAGCGATAAAGTTTACCTTAATTATCCAGCAGGGGCAATTTTTCACTTTATATCCACCCTGTGTGCCTGAAGGCTGGGCATTATTTTCTGCAGTTTCCTGGACAGTATCCTGGGAGGTGCTGTGGAATATGCATTTTGGCTGGTGCTGGGCAAGGCCTCCAAGACACACATCCATCGCTTGTGCTCATATGCTGCACTCACACACATCCTTCTGTGTTCAATCTTTTTCAACCATAATGTATTAATACTCTCAAGATTGGTGTCCTTTCCAGATGCATCCCAGATACAAGTATGCCCAAGTCTGGCTTGCTGATCCAAGGCATATAACCTCGACAGAGCAGGGCTCCTGAAGCACTGAGCTTAGAGAGTCGTTTTACCTACAACTGGATTCCATGACACTACCAGAACACTGTCTGAAGCTGTACATACACCTATAATGATTTTGCAAAAGGCAGCCCACCTAGGTGACTGCATGTGTTTGGACCACACTCAATAATACTCCAGACTGCTAAGGTCTAATGAGTTGCAAAAAGAAATTAGCTAACTTATTTAAGAGAGAATGCACTCAACAACATACAAAGCAAGCATATTTAAAGAAGACAACTCCTTATAAAAATCCCTCTAATTCTATGAAATTACTTCCTGTGCATATTTCTTTACTTTATATGTACGAATGTCTGGGACAACTGCAAGTTTTATGGCCACCCTCCTGAGTGACCATAGTACCCGTATTCACATGACCAACCAAAATTCTTTCCACTTGTCTCATTTACAAACTATTCTGTTAGCCAGTCAGAATCAGAGCAACAATACAGAACAGGTAACAAATAATACAATAATTGTACTATATTAGAAGAGAACTGTTCGTTAACTCTAAAGGCTAAATATACTCAAATAATTCATGGCCCGACAAACCTGCAAGGTAAAAGCAGTGTAACTGCAAAATCAGACATTAGTGAAGGTCAGTTTGTTCAAGACCATTCACAAACAAAGTAAAAAGTAAAATCTGCCAATGTTTTTCCTGCTTTAAAAACCTGACAATACGTATATCTTCTACTCTGTCTCATTTGATCTTAAAGGTCTTACCTACTTCTAAAAAGATACCGCTTTTTCTTCCTCAGATTGTCCTCCCGTGTTTTCCTCCCGGAACACTCACCTCCTAGCTCGGTTCTGGGTGGCTTGCTGCTGCTGCTGCACCTGCTGCTGCACCTGCTGCTGCTGGACCTGCTGTGGTGCAGTGCGTTTTCTTGTTGTTTCCATCACAGTCTGGGGCATCCCAGGTCGCACGGAGGGGCTTCCGACGTACGGGGGGCCTGGAGGACCCATGGGAGCCCCCTGATGGGGCATTCGAGCTCCTGATGGCATCCCAGGGCGCTGGAGGAAAAGCGAAACAGAAAGAAGAGCCACTTTAGTCCCTGTTTCTCCAGCTGCCAGGACATTTGCACATCATGAGACACTGGCTCCAGCAGGTTCCCCATTTTGATCGTCCTGACAAGCGCTAAGCAGCAACACAAAGCACATGAGCTCTGTGACTGGTGTTTCCTGGACGTCATAAAGAGGCATTCAGGGACAAAGTAGACAGGAAACAGGGATGAAAAATACTAGGCTTGGGAAAACACTCAGTGTTCAGTAACATATCCAGGCCACGCTACAGCTGAAAGCTCTACTTCCAGCCCAAAGGAAACGCCCCATGGCAGCGACGCGCAGCCCAAAGTGGTGCAGCTCATATGCTGCTCAGAGCTGCTCAGCTCCCACTGCAGGCTCCGCACTGCCGAGCAGGCGGCTCTGAGCAGCTGGAGACAGGAGCCAGCACAGGCAAAACACAGAAACACAGCGCTAAACATTTTCCATTAAGAGCTTTCTCCTTCACCAACAACGGAGAGCAGCGTAAGTTCATAACGGGACACAAATCCTTTAAAAAAGGTCACGTCTCCTATCAAGCCTTTGAAATAAGGAAAACAATGGAATGGATGTGGTAGTTTGTCAGCAGGCCCCGTAGGCATTCTAAAGCCCTGACATTTATGTTGACTTCAGCGTGCTCTGGAGAGACACTTTGGGTCAAATCACAAGCTTAATGTTGCACAAGACACACAGTAAACCCAATTCTAAATCCTACAAGTTTATAGTCATCAAGGAAAAACATCAGTAAAACAATTACCACCTCTGAAATGCAATTTAAAACAGAGAGAAGAGCTTAGTTTCATACTAAGAATTACCAAGATGTTTATTATATGTCTACATATACGCAAAAATACAGACACACACACTCTCTAGGCATCTGAACCAGGATGTGAATAAAAATAACCATACACAAAAGGCCTTTGAAAGTCAAGTCCGTCTACAAAGTCTTTTAAGGAAATCAAAAGGCAATGGAATCCATTGTGGATAAATAATTGTTTAAAGGATAGAAATGAGGTAAAAGTAATTGGTTCTGAAAATGAAGGCACACACAAAATTTTGCTGGGCCTCCTGCTTTTCAGCATATTCTTAACAACCTGGGGAAAAAAAACAAAAACAAACAAACAAACAAACAAACAAAAAAAAAAAAAAAAAAAAAAGAAAGGCAAGAAAAAAAAGCAAGGAAGTGAAAAAGTTTGTTGGTAAAGCTAAGTTATTCACACTAGTAGGGACAAAGGCCAGCTTCAAAGAACTGCAGAAGGACTTTATGAGCCAGATTTAACACTTAAAAGGAAGATGCAAATGTATTTCAATACATATTGAAGTGAATGGGGAAAAACAATCCAAGTATCACATGGAAAGCAATGGGCCCTGAGCTGACTGTTGCCCAGCAGAAGCAAGATCTTGTTTAAACAGACACTTCCAGAAAAAAAATATCGGTTCACTGCTTACTAGAGGTCAAAAAAAGCCATTAAACAAAAGAAATGAGAATGGGGGGAACAGAGAGTATCAGTGTGCCACTGCCCATGGTGTGCCCACGTGTGAAGGCTGTGTGCAGTTCTGGCTCCTGCAGCTCAGTGATGGCAGAGCAGAGCTCAAATAAGGATAAGGAACGGCACAGAAATTCTTAATGTATGGAACTGCAGCCATGGAAGTAAAGTAAAAGTAACAGTAAGTATATTTTCCATCTGGAAAGAGGTGATCCAAGGCGATCTAAGGGGGCATTTGCCAGAGCTCTGCAGAATCAGGTGTGGCCTGGAGAGGGCAGCTGGGGATTGACTGTTCACTGCCCTTGCCAGATCAGTGAACCCCGGCCACCAGCAGAGGGGTCAGGCTCTCAGACCACCGAAGGGGTGAGTTTGCCCCACTGTGGCTATCAGGCTGTGGAACCCCCTTCCAAAGGGGTGCTAATGGCATGGAAGACATACCTGGCGCAACAGTTACAGACTGAGAAAGTACCTGGGAGCCGTATACTAGTGGTCTCTAAAGGGGGGTGCCTGCACCCCTGAGGGTATGCGAGCCACTGGAGGTGGCCTTCATTATAAACCAAGAAAATAGTTTGTGCACAGTTAATAAGTTAAATAATAATAATAAAAAGTTTATTTCATCTTTATCTCATCCTTTTTATAATTTCTAAATATTTAATTATTAAATATATTAAAACATAATTTTAAATATAATTTGGACCTATATCTCCTATCAACCACCCAAATCCACTGTAGCTCCAGTTCAGTGCCATCCCTGATCACGTCTTGGACCCTCCTTGTGCTTGTATCTACAAAGGAAACCAGAGAAAGGAGGGGAATGCATGACCAGCAAAGAACCAATGTGGGCTATAACTGGTACAGACAGAGAAGCAAGGCTGAGGCACGAGAGTGACCAGCGCAGGAAGGTGAGTTCAGGTGAATTCAGCAAGTGTGCATGTAAGAAACCAGTGGTGGGTGTGGCCATGGAGAGAGCAGCAGGCAGCAAATAGGCAAAACTGCAGCTTTGAGCAACGCTGGAAACGCCTTCTGCCATGAGCACGGAGCTCTGAGAGCGGCTGGAAGGGAACAGTGCTCTCCGTTCCCACGTACTCGCCCCCACCCTCTGACCCAGGGAGAGTCAGCAGACAGAAATGGTCCAGAAAATGCTTCTCTCTTGAGTCTGCATTTAAGATCTCTCTGTCATCTGTCAAGCCACACATTGTGGCCTTCTTCCAGCAAAGGGCAGACCACTGGGCTGGCTGCTGCCCGTCAGTCAGCCAGGGACCACTGACAGTCTTTCAGAAGAGCCCGGATCCTGAGCACAGCCATCTCACGGACACTGGCCACATGGATCAAACTGCAGGCCCACTTTGCTGCTGCTCTAAAGGATATCTTAAGCCTTGGAGAACCAAGTCAGAAAGCCAAATCTACTCTCAGTCTTGGTCTGACGTCTTTGAACTTTCTTCAGTTCCCTTTGTAAAGCATCAAAATAGAGAAATGTAGAGAAAAGACAAACATGAGAACAAGGAGACAGCAAAAGCATGTTTGATCTCATCCCTCCACTGCCTCATTTCTTCCCCTCTGTTCTCATGTTCCTATCTCCGATATCACCCAGAGATAAAGCATTACTCACTACACCACCTCCCTGCTGCAAGCCCACCAGACTCTCAAGATACAGAAATGCTTTCTCTCTCTAAACTCTTATAAAAGAAGAACATAGAAGCAGTACCTTACCTTATCCAAAAGTTTATTTTGCTCTCAAATGCATGTGCAAGTCAAGATAGTGATGGACAATACGTCATATTTTTCACAATACTGACATTAAAAAAAAGGAAGTCTTGATACTAAAGAGTATTCCAATATCATTATGGCTTTTGAAAGAGATCTTAGAGGTGCATTTGTCTATGGGTTAGGATCTGTTTCTCCCCTCTTCCTCAGAGGGATGGAATCTGTCCTAATCAAGTAGCATCCACGGGGAAGGCTGCAGTGTCAAACAGCACTGACACATCCTCCTTCCTGGGAAATCATCTACCCTAGACTCCTCTCCCCAGCACATCTCTGTTCTTATCCATAGACCTATTTCCTTTTTACCTACATTGATTCCATTTACAGGTACTACTCTGCACAAACACTGCCCTGGACAGAAAAAATCAAGAAAAGAAAATCAAAAACACCTACAAAATCCTCAGAAAGGGATTGAACAGAGTGGGGAGTCGCTGCATTGCAGAGGAGTGCTGAGCTGCACCTACAGCAATGTCCTGTCCTGACAGGCTCCATCCACCTTGGCGCCACACTGCAGGCTCTGATGGCTTGTGGTGAACAGCCTCTGGATTCTTGTTAAAGAGACACTGACAGATCTTGAGAACAATCACCACCAAGTATTCAAACAGCATATTTTTTAACTAAAAATAGAAGCTACCTTGGCTAGACAACAGACCTTGTCAAGGTGTTACAGTAGCTACCAAAGGGAGCCTACAATAAACATGGAGAGAGACTACTTACAAGGGCATGAGTGACAGGACAAGTGGGAAATGGCTTCCCACTGCCAGAGGGCAGGGTTAGATGGGATATTGGGAAGGAATTCTTCCCTGAGAGGGTAGAGAGGCCCTGGCACACGTTGCCCAGAGAAGCTGTGGCTGCCCCATCCCTGGAAGTGCCCAAGGCCAGGTTGGACGGGACTTGGAGCAACCTGGGCTGGTGGAAGGTGTCCCTGCCCATGGCAGGGGGTGGCACTGGGTGAGCTTTAAGGGCCCTTTCAACCCAAACCATTCTATCATTCTATGACTTCTAGAAGGCATAAACATAAGCAGGAGGAGACATCAGATGCTGTCTGGAGGCAAGAATGGGTCACTAGAAGTACGTGGAACCCTTAAGAAATTTAAATTATTGTCTGATGGCAACAGGTTTCTGGCTGCACAAATTGTTTCCCAATTTGATGTGTTATTTCAAAATGGACTCTTAGAAGTACAAGAAATAAAAGTTGTACAAGGCTTCTCTCCTCCCCTGTAACTACAGATGTCACCTCATAAGTTCCTTTTTCTTTAATGTCTATGAATCTTTTAGAGATTCAGTACTGCAATTCTTGCTTCTCTGCCATATTCACCTTTCTCCATTTTCCAAAAGCTCTCACAACCTAGAAGTCCAAGTGTTCCAGGTTCCACCCCTTTCACGACAATCCAAAAGTCTTTAACTTAGAAAACATCCCATTTACAGAACTGTGAATTGTAACACAAGACAAATGTCAGGGACCATCCTTCTAATTCATGAGTGTCTCTTCACAGCTCAGAGTAATCAGCCACCAACCTCAAGTGGAACATTTGGATGCAACCAAGAAAAAAACCACATTCTTTGGAACAAACCCTATAGATCAGCTTTGAGTTCCACCAGCTTTAATAGACCTGATCACATCATTGCTGTGATCTAACGTATGGAAGGGAACCACAAGAATGTGCCTCTTGGCTCTGTGAAAAGGAGGGCTTTGGGAGGGAGAGGAACAACAGAGCTCCGCAG